TCGTTCGGCGCGTTGGGAGCGGTGGATGTGGTTTCGGCGATCGCCTGCACCAGGGTCTAGCCGGCGAAACCGCTGCCGTGCACACGACTTGCCATCTTCGACTGGGAAAAGTACGTCGTCCAGTGGTCAGGACGCCACGCGGGATTCCGTACGCGAACGGCCTCCAACGAGTTCAGATATGGCGCAAAGACGTCGCAAACCTTCTCGAGGGTTGGAAGGTCCGGTGTGATGGGTGACGCCGGCCAGGAGAAACAGAGTTTGAACTTGGGTTCGAAGTCAAACGGTATTACGTCCCTTATCATCATCACTATCTCGAGCGAGGCCTCGTCGTGCGCGAGTGCAAACGTTTTCAACGCAAGACCATTGTTGTTGGCGCGGAGGAGGTAGGCGGAAACGGTTGGGAGAACCGTGCAGCATTCGGCGGGAGTCTGGTTGGTTGTGGAGCAGGAGAGGATGAGAGACGTGCCAGAGGGCGTGTCTAACATTTTGAACATCGCCTTGCATTCTGAGACAGTCCCGGACATTTCGAGATCGGTGAGGAGAGGAAAACTGATGACGGCGCTCGTGGGGTGCGATCTGAGGTCCGGGGGGAAACAGTTCAGGAGGTTGAGCGACTGAAGGGCGGGCATGGCTTGTAAAGAACGGATGAGGTCGGAGGCAGAGCCGAGGAGTGAGGCGGGCGAGGCCGTCTGTTCGAGCGATATCTTCAAGTCCGTGAGATTCCGCAGGAAGGGGGACGTCCACGGCAGAAAGCACCCCTCCAGCCACACCGAGCGAAGCCTGGAGGCGTTCTCGGAGAGGAAGCTCGAGTCGAGTATCACCAGAGGGCCGTCTCTGTCCTCGTCTTCCTCGTCGTCTGCTCTCCAGTCCCGGTGGGCTCTCATGCTAATTCTAAGCACCTCCATAACTGGCGCTGGGGGGAAACAGGATGCGACGACCGTGGAAATACTTATTGCAAAGACATCCAATCATGGACAGTTGTCGGATGTGATGCATGTGCTCGGGGACGAGTGCTGCCATCTCGTCCATGTTCGGCATGCGGAGTGGGTCCTCGCGATCGCATGGACGGTGCTTGAGCATACTCAAATCAACGGGGGCCCTGCGGGATCGTGCGAGCATCTCGCGCCCCCATTCCAGCCCCGGACCGAAATTGACCGTCGTCCACAGGCTGGCAGCGCAGAGCAGCGCCAGACCCGGCAGACGTGC